AGCTTTTTGTTGCAGGCTATTATCAGTGTCTGCTGATTGTTAGCTTGGCATAAATCAGTAATGTTTTGAAGCTCAAATTCAGTTAAAATTCCAAAGTCAGGGGTTTTCTCTCTCTGGAGTTTTCCTTCACTCTGCTCTTGAAGGTGATTGGCTCCTTTTTTTAATCTCTTGGGCAAAGGTAATTGAGCGTGCTCTGGTACCTTGCTCAAATGTTCCACTGTGTGTGCGTGGACAGCGAGTGTTTCTTTATGTCACGCTATTTGATGGTAGGAAAATGGGGCATGTTTGTGTTGTGATCCTCGTCTCACCCAACATCCATTCATTTGCCTTTAGCAGGAGTGGTAGGGTCAGGAGCTCTTGACAGATTTGTCCTACCTACTTCATTGTTTTTTTTATGCTTTTGAGATTCATGGACAATACATTTTAAATGAATTGTAAGCATCATCACAAAGGGAGGGTGTCTGAAAGCACTTCACAGGATTTTACTGGAAATTGTGACTATTTTGTAAGCAAACGCAAGAAGCAATTTTTAATGCAGGCACTCAAACTGGTGACAGAATAGCTTGCAATGGATGCTTGTTATGTTTACATATATTCAGCTTGTCTGATATTGATGGAACATTTTACGTTTTCATTAACGTACCATAGTGATGCTAGGATTGCCATTTTCATATAATTAAGATATATTGAAGATGTTAAATGATTTGGAAAGAGATTTTAGTACTGCTCAATATTACCTATTTAATGGGCCATTAGCTTGGCTATTCTTGGATTGAGCATTTCTGCTTATGAAATTATCAACCAAATTGAAGGTATGCCTGCTGTTCAGTTTGAAGAAACCATATAAACAGTGCTTGAATTAATGCCAATAACCCAGCAATTGTTTCAACAGCAATTCAACACTTTGGAACATTCCTCCATAATGGGTTTTATATTGTGCAAGAATTTACATATGATTCAATGAAGTGTTTTCATGCTTTGTGTGAGATTAAATGTGTAATTGCGTCTAAAATGTCAGTGTGGCCCATCATGATTCATTTATTGTGTGAGTTGTGAGAATCTTCAAATGGATTTAAAGAGTGTTAACCAACCAACTAAGTATTAAACTGTCAAGTAATATATTACAAAAATCCTTGCATCTTGGATGCATCCCAGAGCTATTCTTTAAAAATGATTGATTCCTATAAATGTGACCATTGAGACACAGTGCTTGAGCACAAGTGAGGCACAAAATATCAGCATTGATTGAGACTTAATTCTCAGGTAACACGAGATTTAGATGAAAAAGACAGTTTGGCCCATTTGATGTCTTTACTTGCTTTGCATTCTTCCCATTACAGCATGAAGCTATTTTTCAAATGAATCCAGCTTCAACCTTCCTGGTCACCAATTCTAGTGTTTAATTATCCTTAAAGAATTGCTTGCTCATACCTATCCTGAAATTGTCTGTCCTTTCACTACTCCAAACGTGTACCCTTTATTCTCAAGCGCTCTGAGACGCCGTCCGGCGTGGAGGGCGCTATATAAATCCAAGTTGTTTTTGTTGTTCTACTGCCTGTGTACTTGAAAGTATTGTTCTGGGTTTTATCATTTTACTGAGGTGAAGCCCTCTTAAAAAATCTTTCCAAGGCTGAAAGGGCCTTAATTACTGGTGTTACTCATATCATCCCTCTTAACATGGATTGTCCTGGTTGTTCTCCTCTGTGTTGCCTCTCGGGCCTGGGCCCCTTTATGTTGCCTTTCATGTCATGAAGACATCCCAAAAAATTTCAAGATATACGAAGCCCAGCATCCCCTTTGTCTTGTTGCCGCCTCAAGCTGTGATGTAATTAGTCATCCTTACATTTGAAATAGAGCCTTTCACATTGGGGAAGTCTCGAAGCATTTCAGGATTTACTATAAAATATAGTGGCTGTTTGTTACAGACAAGTGTGATGGCCAGTTTACACCCAGCAACGTCCAGTCGCTCATTTTATCTGGAAGATTTTTGGCCAAGAAACTGGAATAAGCTGCCTTTCCTTTTTTGAAAAATGTTGTGGAACTTTTAACCTCTGCCTTTTGCCCTCCCCGTGCTCAAATACTCTCCCAAATAGCTATCATTTGCTTCATCACCTTTATCCAGTCACTAATTCACGTCCATGTTTTACCCTGGATACTGTGTGACAACCTATTTGCTCCATTCTAACAGACAACATTAATTCATGGGGACAGTTGAAAGATGTGTTAAGTGGTGGATGTTATTAGAAAAGTTCTACACAGGTAGCTATTAATATTAACCAGATCTAGAACGTACCCTTTGTACAGATAGACAAACAGGCCATTATACTGAAGCATGTGATGGTTCCTGAAACTTCATATCGCCTTCTCTGTCCAAAGCAGCGACTGCCTTATGGCAACTAATCATATTAAGTGGAAATTGTCCTTTTTTTTACATTGTTTAGGATTACTTGGCTGCTCTGTACTTCATATTTCTCCAAGTTACGATTTGGTACATCGAAAAAGCATCATTAGCCATTATTTGTTTTTGCAGGTGGACATCCTATATACATGAGCTTAACTTAAGTACTTCCACTGAAGGGTAGGCTACATGAATGCTTAGAATTCTGCAAATTTCGTGCCTCTTCATCTAAGCCCTTGTTCCAAAAAAACATGTGGAAGATGCTGCTTTTGTGCAGGTTTAGATACGTTTTCTATTCTGGATCCATCTTGCTCAAACATAGCATTTTTAGTCACATATTCAGGAGGTTTTCTTGCATGTTCAAGGTCTGAATATAAAATCATTTTGTGAATAAAAAAAGTCCATTACATAATCAAGATTTTATAATGCATTAAATGTTAAGTAGCAAAAGATTGCCTTAAATCGTAAATGTGGTGAGGCATAGTTTGAGTGTCCAGCAGAGCTGTCCATGACTCCAATTACCTTCTGAAGTCTTTACATTATGAACCTTTTTTATAATGTGTGAATCCAGTAGGTAAGGCCAATCTGGCAGTAAACCTTTTCGAAGCAGATGTAGACAAAATACTGCAGCATTAATCACGAAAAGTGCTGTCATTTAAAAGTAATTGGTGAAATCTATCTGCTGTGTTTGGAGGGAATGGACTGTTGCAATATTTGAAGAGCTGCAATATGAATGCAGATGGAGGGAGGGGGAAGGGGACTAAATGAACAGTTCTTTTCAAAGAGCCGCATTGGCCAAATGGCTTCTCTGTGTGTAAAGTTCCATGGTAGAAGTATAATAACTTTGCTCCATGAATTTAGTCTTTCAGCAGGTGTAGCAAACTACTGGCCTCCCTGGGTTCAGCTCATCCAATGGAAAAGCTGAAATTAATAAGAATGTTGCAGTAACAAATCTCCTCAAGTGTCTGGGCTGACTTTATAACTGTAAATATTAAACCTAATCTCCAAAAATAATAGGTGAAAATGCTGTTTTACTTTAGTTCGAATCACAGTAGAGTTTTATTGTAACCTGGGTGCTTTGTGGACCTACAGCTAGACATGATCTGTTAATAAGACTAGACTAAACCCAGTGTGTTATAATGGTGCTCTACTGCACCTCACTCATTTTTTTTTACTATTTGTGGTAATTCCCTGGTTATTATGGAAGAGGGAGGCATTGTGCATTATTTCAGGGAGAATATTACCAAACTCTACACTCCAGCCCAAGTGGTCTTTGCACTGAAGTATTTCTCATTCCTTGTTCAGTATCTTGTAGGAAGTTCTGGTATTTAATAATAATAATAATCCTTGCATTTGGTATTGCACCTTATCACGTTAGGATGCCTCAAAGCGCTTCATGGGATTTATTGTGAAATGGAGTGTATTTATAGGCAAACATTCTTGTGAGATTTGAACCAGGCATCATTCAGAGGATTATTAATTTAGGAATATTTTAGTTGAGAACTGACTAAATAATCATATTCCTTGCATGTGATAGTGTATTATAATAATAATAATCTTTGCATTTGATATAGCGCTTTTCACGTCGGGAGGATGTCCCAAAGCGCTTCACAGAACACACTGTAAAGTGAATTGACTGTATATTTGTGGGCGAACGCGGCAGCCAATTGCGCACAGCAATGTCCCACAAACAGTCGTAGATTGAAAATGACCAATTTATTATTGTTTTTGGTTTTGGAGGGATTATTATTAGGCTCTGTGTGGAGTAAGGAAACTTGCCCAAGGTTTCGCCCTCTGCCTGGAATTGAACTCAGGTCTCTCACTTGCAAAGCGAGTGCTCTAACCACTGAGCTACAGGACTTTAGTGAACCTTTAATTTTAAACGAATTTCTAATTTGGGGGAATGTTAGGTGTCCAATCAATTTTTCCTCAAAAAAGATCTAGTGTAAATCATATCTTTGTTCAAAATGCCAACTATTGAGGACTTGCTGGTAGTCTGTTGTAATTGTTATTTTCTCCTGAAATGGTAAATGTTCAATGAAGAAATATTATTTGAACTGCATATTCTGATTTTTTTCCATGACAGTCGTCAATCATTTGAAGATGGCAAAAAGCTGCCCTCACGTTGTCGGTGTGAAAATGCAGGCATTTTGCATTCAGAATACTTTTGAACACTATTAGTCTTCTTTATATTCTTAATTCCTCTCTAGCACTATGTGTATAAAATACATAGTTTTTATGTACTAAAGGCTGCAATAAGATGTTTGTTGTGATTAAATTTGATTATTTCTAACTGGGTGCGATCACTGGTCAGCATATGATGCTTCTGCTCACCAGTAGTGTGAGAAATGCTTGTGCTTTTGGGTTATAAGAAGTCATAGAAACAGTGACCGGATGCCTTGGAAATTGGCCTCTAAAGTGTGCGGGAATCTGGCCTTAAGAGAACTGCTGGTCTGTGGGGTACATGTCTTCCAGGCAAACCAGTGTTATAAGAGTGATTCCCTCAGTTTTGTGTTTGAATGCTAAGGAATTGATTTTGAGGTTCACCTCTATTTGTGTGGTTAATTGTGGATTGATCTTAATTTTTTTTGTTTCTCTGCAGTGCTGGACATGGCCAGGCATGTTCCCCTGTACAGAGCCCTGCTGGAGTTGCTGCGTGCCATCGCATCATGCACTTCCCTAGTGCCTCTTCTATTGCCTTTGTCTGGGGATAACAGCGAGGAAGACGAGGAACGCACCGAAATGCAGACTTCTGTTGGAACATTACTAGCAAAAATGAAAACCTGTGTAGATACTTACACCAACAGACTAAGGTATGTTAAATGGTTAAGAGGCTTAAGTACTTTGGTGTTGCTTGCACAAAATTTGCTTGATACCTCTTTTAAATGAACAAATATTTTTAAGTTTTAAGGGAGTTCAAACTGAAGCATTAATGCCTCTGTATCTAGCAGACTGAGTGGGTTTAGTTCTCTGGACATTTCAATTGTGATCCCCCTGAGGTATGAGAAACTATCTTATAGATTCCCATTGCTTATCTCAACAATTGCCTCTCTGCGTCCTCCATTGCAATTTGAGCCCGCAGCGCACCATCACCAGCTGAGCTTTCAATCATATTGCTCAGTCCCATCTTCTCTCTCTTCCCGCCTACACACAGACACAACCCAATCTTTGCAATGCTCACAAAATCCTTGGGCCCTCTCCCTGCCTTCTAAGCCTTATTGGAAACCCATCTCATTTTACCCCCTTCTCACCTCCTTCCATTCATGTAAAATTATTTTAATGAATTTGACCTGTTCCAAAGCATCTTGGAGGAGTAGTCGGCTTCATAGGAAACCTGTTTGTTTGCCAAAGCCCCTGTCATGAGGTCCTGTTCAGTCATTTTGGTGGGTGGCATTGGACGGACCTACTAGAAAGTCACGATGGCTGGCAAATCAGATTTGGTCTTACATGGGTCCTCCCAACATGCTGAAAGCAGATGTCTGTCCAATAGCTAATGAGGACACTGAAGCTAAGCCATCATAATTCTGTCTGATTTGCATGCTCTTGAGCATGTTGACAGATTTCCGCATTCATCAGACACCTGGCTGCTCCAAAAAATTAATGCAAAGCAAGTTTTCAATAAAACAGGCATTTTATTTGCATTGTATAGTGCTGTGTCACAAAATATCTTCTGTTGCAGAACAGGAAATGAACCTGAAGCATAAAAATCTTTTTTTTAAACTTTCTGGACCTTTGTATCAGCCTTCTGACATTTTCTTAGTGTGAAGTGAGAGAAAATTCCGAGAGAGAAACTGAGGCATTCACAAGCTGTAAGACACTAATTATAACTGCAGTATGCCATGTATACCTGAAATTGTGAAATTTGCTAACCTTTGTGCAATTTCAAAACATACCTTTGTACCAAGGACTGCTATCTCTGTCTAACTTGCCGAGTTACAGATTGATTCTAACTAAGGCACTGCAATAGCTACATTGAATGCCTTAGACACAGGGGTTGCCCAAGGGATCCACGTCCTTGTTAGGCTTGGCTGCAGTTGTCAGAATTCTCACAAGTATTGCAGCTCAAACTGTTCCAAATATCTTGATATAACAAGAACTGTTTGGTACATAAGTGGAAAAAGTGTTTGAGCAATCAAAGTACTGTCATTGGAGCTTTTGGCCATTGTAGGTCTAACATTGGACTGTTTTACTAGGGATAAAGGCAGTCTTGATTCATCTAGAGATTGTCATAAGCACAAGCAGCAACTGCAGAGCCCTGTACACAAGGAACACAATTTTCTGGACAGAAAAGTCTTGTTCTGTCCCCAGGGTAGTTGAAATTGAATAACAGTCAAAGGTTAAACTTCAACCCTGCAGGATTCTGCATTTACCAGATTGATTTTTCACTGTGAAGATATTGATTTTTTGTTTCCTGTATACTACAGACTTTAGTTAGTGATTCATTGCTGTACACATTAGAAGTCCCCGTGCTCTTAGCTTTTATTTTCCTGTCATTCTATTTAATACAATAATTGATATGTCAGTTGCATCTCCGAAACACATTTTTGCCATGAAAACTGCTTCTATTTTAAACCTTTCAATGAAATCCATATCCTTGACACAGTATGACAAACCTATTCTACTTTTGAGCTGATCTGACAGTGCATAACTATTTTTTAGTACTGAGCTCAATTTGTTTTCATAACTTTTTATATATATATATAACCATATTACTGTAGTGACTTTTGCCTTACACAAAGAGTTTATCCTGGACGCCGTCCGGCGTGGAGGGCGCTATATAAATCCATGTTGTTGTTGTTACCTAGCTACTGGCTTCCAAATTTTCTGTGCAGTTATTTCACAGGCTACTACTTCATATTGTTGCCTCCCCATTCTCAAGCCTAATTGTACCACTGTCAATATTGCATTTGATCCAGTAAATTTCTTGCATTAATTTTAGTTTCCCCAAGCTCCAGTAAATAGTTTTAAGTCCTGCATTAACTGAATCTTCCAGTGATGTAAATAGAATAATAATAATCCTTGCTTTTCATATAATGCCTTATCACGTTGTTGAGCCAACTCAAAGCGCTTCACAGAATATACTGTAAAGTATAGTGACTGTATTTTGTGGGCGAATGCTGACAATCTCATTCGTCCAACAGTGGCACTATTGGTGAATGTTTTTCATGGATATCTATGGGATCAGGAAGAACATTGCATACATCTACCTAAGTTTTGTTTAAAATAACTAATTGCTCGCAATAGTGATAATAATAATAATCCTTGCATTTTGATATAGCGCTTTTCACATCAGGAGGACGTCCCAAAGCGCTTCACAGAACACATTGTAAAGTGGATTGACTGTGTATTTGTGGGCGAACGCGGCAGCCAATTGCGCACAGCAATGTCCCACAAACAGTCGTAGATCGAAAATGACCAATTTATTATTGTTTTTGGTTTTGGAGGGATTATTATTAGGCGTGTGGAGTAAGGAAACTTGCCCAAGGTTTTGTCCTGCCTGGAATTGAACTCGGGTCTCTCGCTTGCAAAGCGAGTGCTCTAACCACTGAGCTACAGGACTCCAAACTGATAGTGGTGAAAATAAATAACCAATTTAATCTCAATGATATATAAAAAAAACGAATTGACTTTAGTTTACAGATTGAATATTCATGCCTCCTTGATGGATTTTGCTCCCTAAAACACAGTGTGTGTGTGTGTGTATATTATATATATATATATCAGAAATCAGTCACCCACGTTTTAAATATATATATATTTTAAAAACTTGGGTGACTGATTTCTGCTGGTTACACTGACTCCTGTATGTTTGACACCTTAATCACTTCAGGCCATGCACTTTTTGCATTTTGTGCCACTCTCGTTTCATAAACTTCTTATTTGCAGTTTGTGAACGGTTGTGAAATTTTAAGATTGAACAAGATCAAAAAAAATTGTAGCAACAATAAACTAATGTTATTTCAGGGTGCACACGGAGCTATTGTTTAAGCCAGTGGAGCTGTTATGCAATATGCATGCCCTTTCGTGGTACTACTGTACTTTATATTTTATATTTCGTGCATGAATTAAGAATTTTGAGTCAAAGTGCTGTGATATAACTCTTTAATATAGCTTTAATAAGTCTAATAAATTCCTTCAGTTGTAACCCATTTCTCACAAATGGAGGGAATTAATACAGTAATGTAATCTTTGAATCCACTTAAGTGCATATGAGTGCACCATTTTGAATATAAATCCCGATTTGCAACAGGGCATTGCTTCTATAATGCCTTCTATGATACAATTCCTTCTATCTTTTAATTCCCTAATCTGAACGTTGCTAAACACCATTTTATAATAATGGTCTTAATTGAAGTACAGTGGAAATGCATTGCTCGAAATCATCCCAGGATTACATTTTTAGATTTGGATTCTTTTAAACTGTTTTGAATTGGTTTTGATCAGTTTCGTGAAGTTTGTATTAATACATGCTGGTCTTTATGACAAATAATTGATTGCAGTGTCATTGCTGCTTGTCTATCAAGGAATTGCAGTTGATAACTGTGAGATTTTGTGGGCTTAACACTTGTGCCTATCTTTTTCCAGATCCAAGAAAGATAAAAGTAAAACTGGGGCCAAATCCGACACGGCTGAGGCTGAATCTGAGGGGCTAACGCTGCTTGTGCCTGACATTCAGCAAACTGCAGAGATAGTTCAAGCAGCAACCACTAGCCTCCGACAGGCAGCTCAAGGTATGGTGCCTTCTAAACAGTGTATAGTTGTGTGCCAACCTGGCTCAGTTGGTAGCACTGTGTCAAAATTTTGGGGTTAAAGCCTCACGTCAGGACTTGGAAACCATATAGGTGGAAGTTAAAAATCTTGTGGCACTTTTCATAAAGAAAAGGTAATTTCTCCTGGTGTTCTGGCCACAACATTGGTCGCTTAATCAATGGCTGTGGGACATTGCTGTGTGCAAATTGGCTGCCTTGATCGCCTACAAAATATACACAGCCTTACCGCTCTGAAGCGCTTTGAGATGTCTCAACAATGTGATAAAGGTGCTATATCAAATGTAAGTATTAGTACAGTTAGTTTAATATTTGGAGTTTTTTTAGGCTTTGATTTAATTTTGCCAACTCTGTTTCATTTAGTGAATTTTTCTTGCCATCTTGCATTTGACCATTTATTGCTTGAAACAGTTTCTGATTGCAAGTGTCAGCAATATTAATTTACATTGCTCTGAGCAAAGCCTGGATTGACATAATAATCCTTGTGTTTGATCCTTGGTGCTTCAGCAATGAGGAGGAGCATCATACCTGCCTACTAATTAGCATGGTTTGCAGATCGGACGCTTTGTTTTACCACTTAGTGCTCCACAACTGAAAACTTGTATTGGTCCTTTCTGTCAGTCTCTTTCCCCCCTGGTGTCATTGTTATGTTAACATGTGACCATCTAATAAATGCAGAACAACATTCTAACTAGAAGTAGCTGAGACAAGCTAGTAAGAGCCTGAGATGGATGGTGGGGGGGAGGCTTGACCTTTAGCTGTCAAACTAGGAATTACTTAAAAGCTGAGCAGTAGATTTTCTCCAAACTGTGAGCCTGAAAGCTTTGGACAAATCCCGTAATTGCAAGGTTTATGCGGAGAATTGAACAAAATTTTAGGTGCAAAGACAAAGAAAAGTGCAACCAGTTGTATTCTCCAATACTTGCAATGGAATTGTATGCATCTTCTTTATCAGATATGCCCCTTCCATACCTATGTTTGTGCAAACTGAAAACCATGCATTTTTCTATATTGAATACTTCAGGCATTTTCATGTTTACTGTTATGTTGTACGATTTATCTCATGCCCATCTCCTTCGTTTAGAAAAGAAAATTGCAGAATCAACAAAGAAGGCATTATGCAGGCCCAGACCCTCAATTATCACACGCTCTCTGGAGGAAAAATATGTCGCTGCAATGAAAAAACTGCAGTTTGGTAAGTAATGTGCAAAGATTTTATATAATGAATATAAAGACAATTAAAGTTTGTTTTATTAGGATTTTTTTCTACCAGCTTATGTAATGAGCATACATTCCCCAAACCACTTAGCAGCCTGTGCACATTTCCAGAGTCCACTAACCTTACGCAGTTGTGCACAACTGGCTCAGCTGGTAGCGCTCGCCTCTGAGTCAGAAGCCCCATTTTGGATCTTGAAAATTATAACGTCTAGGTTGAAATTCCAGTGCAGTGCTTGGGTGTCTTCCTTTGGTTGAGACGTTAAACTGAGGTCCTGTCTGGGTGTTCAGGTGGATGTTGAAAATCACATGTTGAAGAAAAAAATACAGTCACTCCTCTTTACAGTGTAGCCTGTGAAGTGCTCGCTGTAAGATATCCTTTGTGCAAAAAAGGCACTATACCAAACGTAAGCATGATAAATGCCACATGAAGAATTTCAGGATACATGCACACCATCAGACAGTGTAAAATTGGCAAGTTTTGAAACTAAATGTGACTTCATTCTGTTTAGTCCTTACAAAAATATTATAAAATACTGTTTATACAACTCAAAACTCATTTAAGTCCTCATTTGACAATTCTTGCCCTGCCTAGGAAGACGTCATACTTTCTACATCTCTACCTTGGTTTTCTTCATCCAATGCCTTTGTGTGTTGTATTGAAGAGCAGCTTAAGTTTAATCAAGGTGAATACTGATTCTGGTGTTTTTGCTTTGTTTAAGACACTGCTGAGATGGTCACAGAAGATGATGATGGAAAACTGGTGTTCAAAGTGAACTACCATTACATGTCTCAGGTGAAGAATGCCAGCGATGCCAACAGTGCTGCCAGGGCCCGACGCCTTGCCCAAGAAGCTGTCACACTTTCCACATCTCTTCCTCTGTCCTCTTCATCCAGTGTCTTTGTGCGTTGTGATGAAGAGCGATTAGATATAATGAAGGTAAATACAGAATGTTAGAGAAAGTACTCGTAGATCAGCTTGTCCATTTAAGTGCGCAAGAAGTGACGTAACCAAAGCCAGCTAGTTAGGACTGGAAGGTGGGTGGGCTGAGCTTCTGGGTAATGTGGGTTCCCAAGACACCAGCACTGTAAGAGAAGATGCGTTATACCAGGTGGCATTATAATGTGGGTGACCACCTGTAGTTAAAACATTTTACTTTTTCACTTTGGCCATTGTTAAATTTGTACGACATATGAAGGACAAGAGATAAATCAGTCACTGAGACAAACTAGACTAATGGACTTGAGTGGAATGGACTGACTTAGATTTCTGGTTAACCTTTACTGAAAAGGAGCCTGGATCATTGGCATCATTTACATCCGGACTAAATGTTTTATTAAGCATTGAAAATGAATGAAAATTGTATTAAAGAATGCACAGTGATCATATTTTCTACTGATTATTTCCTCCTCCCTGTTCCATTAGGTTTTGATCACAGGACCATCTGATACACCTTATGCAAATGGTTGTTTTGAGTTTGATGTATATTTTCCCCAAGACTATCCCAATTCTCCTCCACTGGTGAACCTGGAGACTACAGGAGGGCACAGTGTACGATTTAATCCGAATCTTTACAATGATGGAAAGGTAAGGGAATGGAATTACAGGTTTTGAATTCAAGAAAGACTAAAATTGTCTAAACATCTTCAAAAGGGATCTTCCTATGAGCATACGTCAGCGTTCTCTGGCTTTATATACAGTGCAGTAAACTGGAGAACATAAAGCAAAAAAATGGATTTCCACATAACATGGTTGAATTGTTCTAAATCAACAGTTAGCTGCAATGTAATTCTAAGCGTCATTGGTTTGGGTATGGTCAAAGGGCATGGTTCTTGTTTTAGGCTTTGCCTATTAAATCACAGTGAAGATCGAGCAGTATCTCACAATGATGAATTTAACAATATAATATGATTAACCTTATGAATCTGGGGATCACTTTGAGGAAATACAACAACAACAAGATTACATTTGTATAGGGCCTTTCACGTCGGGAGGACGTCCCAAGGTGCTGGACAGAGTACAGCATTTCAGACCCGAGCCGGGGACGGGGGTGGAGGGGAAGAAGGGGGATGGGCAATGGCATGGTCGAAAAGGAGGGTCTTGAGGCGGGACTTGAAGGAGGCTAAAGAGGGGTTGAGGCGGAGTGATTGGGGAATGGAATTCCAGAGGTTGGGGGCCGAGTGGCTGAAGGCTCTCCCGCCAATGGTGGGGTGGGTGGGTCGGGGGACGTGGAGCAGGACAGAGCCGGCTGAGCGGAGGGAATTTGCGGGTTGGTAGGGGATTAGGAGGTCCGAGAGGTAGGGTGGGGTGAGGCCATGGAGGGTTTTGTATGTGAGGACCAGGATCTTGACCTGGATCCTCTGAAGGATAGGAAGCCAATGGAGTCGGGCGAGAATGGGGGAGATGGGGTCACGGAGTTTGGTGCGGGAGAAGACACGGGCTGCAGAGTTCTGGATTATCTGCAGTCTGGAGGGAGGAGTTGGGAAGGCCGACAAGCAGGGAGTTTGCATAGTCGAGCCTGGAGGTGATGAAGGCATGAACAAGAGTTTCAGAGACCTGAGGAGTGAGGTAGTGGCGGAGTTGGGTGAGGTTACGGAGGTGAGGGAAGGCAGAGTAGGTCATGGCTTGAATGTTGGGGAGAAAAGACAGTTGAGGGTCGAACAAGACACCCAGGTTCCTGACTGGCTGGTGAGTTGAAGTGTGTGACCATGGAGGTTAATGCTGCCAGAGCCTGAGGCGCTGGCGCGAGCCAATCAGGAGGGCCTCAGTCTTGTTCACATTCAACTAGGAAATTTGCCCTCATCCAGAACTTGATGTCTAACAGGCAGTCTGTCAGGACAGCAGTGGTCCTGGAGTTGAGGGTGGAGGCAAAGAGATAGAGTTGGGTGTCATCCGCATACATATGGAAGTTGACCCCATGTCTGAGAATGATGTCCCCAAGGGGGAGCATGTAGGTATTAAAGAGGAGAGGGCCAAGGACAGAGCCCTGGGGGACGCCAGACGTGACAGTGCGGGGGACAGTTAGAGGCAATGAAGTGGAAATAGTGCCTAAAAGGGGTATGGTTTGTTCAGTTTTCCCACTAAGTCTAGGAAAACCATGCATTGTAAATTTTTAACTTGAGGAAAGCCCAAATCTTGGCTTCTCGCTGGTATTCAACTTTCTGGGAGGGCGTGTCCATATTGAACTCTGATTTGATATGGCTTCTCCCTGTAACATTTTATTGGAGTGGCCTTGTGCAGGAAAAGGCGGGTCTTGGATATTGTATGAAATTATGTAAATAGCCTATTCAATAATTTTATTCCAATATTCTTAAGTGATTTCAAGTCTTTAAATCTTTTCAGTTTTGTTCCCAAGTCTGTGTTTACAGCAATTGTCTTAACAAGTGTGTTGCACGTTTATGCATGTTGAGACTCTCACTGCAGGGTTAAAGATTCCGACATGCCTCCTCCAAGTTTATTGAGACGTAATTGCAATCGATCACTGGATAAATCTGAGGCCACTGTTTAATGGCTTGTATCAGAGCTTTGCTAGAAATTGATGACTGATCTGTAAAAGGTGTGAAGACTTGAAAGGCCACCCAGTAGTCTAATATGCTGCAGTATGACTTTCATCTATTATTTTTTCTTTGAAGGTCTGTTTAAGCATTCTTAACACTTGGCATGGAAGACCAGAGGAGAAGTGGAATCCTCAAACATCTAGTTTTTTGCAAGTAAGTAGGCAATATTTACTGATAGACAGTGTTCAGTTATAAAAATGCAATTTGTTGTAAAAACACAGGAAATGCTTGACTTAATTCCTAAAAAATATTACGTTTGTTTTCATCCAACAAGCCAAATTAAAATGTCAGGTACCAGTTGTACCAATTTGGACCAGTTGTATCTTCACAAGAATTTGAATGTACATAATGTGTCTAATAAAAAGTGCAAATGAAAACTAGTTTAATATTAATCACAACGTTTAATAGTTCATGGTTCATTAACCCATTAAATGGGCATTGTTGCAGAGTCTTCCTGTATAGAATGGGTTAAATCCATTGTTTCAGGTAGTGCTTCATGAACACACTTCACAGGTTAAATCTGCCTGTGGAACAGACTCAACGTTGGAAATAATTTACATGCTGCTCACAAACTGCAATTTCATTTCTCCAGCCACCTTGTCTGTAACAGTACTGTTTCTTAATTCCATTTTGTGATAGCTGATCTGAGTGTGCTGTTGCACAGATTTTGTGATTTATTTTGAGTGGCTCGGCAAAGAAAACTTGCTGTATATTTGGTTCCATTTTTCCCTTCTCTAGTGATCAATTCCTCATCCTTCTCATCAACTAACTAAGTTCCATTCACGTCAGTGTTGCTGTGCCAAGCTTTAGCCACAGAACCTCCACGATAATGCATAAATTGTTGACTTCTACTTAGTGATGGTTATTTGACGTTTCTAAATGGAGTTGCACTGATGTCTTTGGATTCCTTTTTTGCACTCCTGTGCTTAAATGTATCAAAGGGAGAAAGAGACCTATCACTGACATTACCAATTTGTTACTGATTTTCGGCTTTAGTCAAAGGCTTTGAAATCTTCATGATGTATGTAGCTACCTAGTTTTTACTCCATTACCATTCTGTTGCTCAATTTGTTTCCTTGGTGATTTGACATCTCTGATATTCAAGATTGATCTCTCTTTCTCTAATTCAACACTCGATCAGCTTGAAGGAGGTATATTCAAAAAATAAAACCTGGGACATTTATTTTCAGGATCTGTTGTGTCAAAGGGAGAACTGGGGAATTTAACAACATTTTTTTGGTGTGGGAGAGAATCAGGATTTAATTTGGAACATTCTGAAACTCATCTCACTCCAATTCCAGTCTCCAGCAATCCTCACGCAAAACTAATATGCGTGTATAGATATCTAGAACTTGCTTTTTCCAAGGATTGTGGGAACTGGAATTGTGGCAAAGCCAGTTTTGGGATGCTCACACAACATACTCGGTGATGCTGGGGGGATGGCAAATTCCAAGTGAATAAATTCAACTTAGGAGAAAATTGATTTTTATGATTTGACTTTCACTGCAACAAAGCGGTATTTATTAGTGAACATAATATTTTTTTTTAAAAAAGGCTTTTTTTTCTTTTCATTTTTTTTAGTCTTCATTTACGAGCTTCAACATCATTGGGTCAAAACGCCCACCATAACAATATTGCTCTCCTCGTTAACAGACACGTTGAAATTGTGAATTACAGGTCTTGGTAAAAAGCTTTTCATGGCCAAATAGTGGATACAGTGACCAGGCTGTGACTTCCCTTATTCCCTTCTATCGCCTCAAAGATATATACTACTATCAGGTCTCTTATTTATGTTTCTTACTGAAGCGGTCAGTTTTGCCCATATGATGTCCATATATTTTTAGCTGTTTACATTTCTGATAAAATTCATGTAGGTATTCTTTCAAAAATACTAAAACAATCATTGTGAATATTTTGTTCAAATTTGAAGCGTCTTCATCTGAAACCAAACCACTGTATGGATGTTATTTAAATAGATATGAATCCTTTCATTCCTGCAGGTACTAGTCTCAATCCAGTCTTTGATACTAGTAGCAGAGCCTTATTTCAATGAACCTGGCTACGAGAGGTCAAGGGGTACCCCAAGTGGCACACAGAGTTCCAGAGAATATGATGGGAATATAAGACAGGCAACAGTCAAATGGGCCATGCTTGAACAAATACGGAATCCCTCCCCATGCTTCAAAGAGGTAGGTTTGCTTTCAATTCTGAGTGTGCCATTCTTTTTGTTACTTAACTGTAATCATGTAACTGCAGTTCTCCGTTGCAATCCACTATTTGAAACAGTAGAATATTTGTTTCTGTAACATTGAGCACTACAATGAAGTTACCTTATCCAACACGTTGTGTAGAGATGTTTCTACACAGTGAATCATTGATGTTGGATCAACACCAATAGATCTTTACTCGCCAATGTTTTGTGTAGAAATACAGTGTAGAACGTGAAATGTAGGGTTGAATTGGTGTATCTGAACTGAATTGTTAAAGAACCTGTACTGTTACGTGGGTGCTTTGAGAGTAAGAGTAATGATAAAAGTATTGCAAATGGGATGGTGATGAGCGGTCCCATTTTGGGGGAAAGATGTTCTGACACAGAAAATGGCATCATCAGAGCAGAAATTGAGAAATTGGAACAAAATACATTGTAAATTTATGCATAAATATGAAGTAAAAGGAATGCGGAGTGCTGGATTAAAAAGTGTGCTTGCTTTTTCTTTTATTGATCACTTCTGAATTTTAAAATATACACCAGCTTCAGTGATGTGTGTAAACAATCCACATTCTCAGTGTGTTTAAAGAAATGTCCTAACCTCACAGCTTGCACTCAGCACATCTCAACACATTCTGTTGAGCAGCTCTCATCACTGACCATCAGAAGGGTTGTTGTACATTGAATATGATCCGTTTTTTACAGACACTAACACTGATAGTTTAATGGTTTTTACAAGTGACGAGGCACACAGTTTCGCAAACAGTTTATTTAAAACAGATTTACTTAAGGCAGATAATCCTAGACCTCCAACCTTGTTTGTTTTTGATTGGTAAAAGGAGTGAAATTGATACCTTCATCAACACTTAAAATACCTAAGGGGTGGAGATATTCTAAAAGTACAGTACAGTTAAAGATAGACTTCAAATTGAATCCCCAGCTTCCAAGCAACATCCAAATTACAAATAGTGACACCTGCCAGGAACCAGAATTGTGGCACAACACCCCTTAGCTCCATGCATTCTATTTCTGGTGTGCAGTTCCTGTGGTGGGGACTTCTGGTTTCTAGCAGGAGTCATCATTTGCAAATCCTTTTTTCGAATTTTGAAGTCTCTGCTACCAATATGTTATAACAGCAAAAAGGCATCTAATTATCAATGAACCCATGTTCAGTATGGGGATTTCAAGTGGGGGAAAGGTGAATTTGAGGCAGAATATAATGAGGTCTTAGTGGCAGTGCTTAATGCACTATGATTGGATAAAGCTGTGAATGAAAAAATGTAAACTTTTCCTTAGCCTCCTTTCTCTGAACTCTGTCTACTGAAGTTCTTGTATTGCAGGGAGGTGAAGCGACTCATCTTAGCATTGAAGTCACTCTGGACTAATGAATTATGTTCGTTCAAATATTTTAGCAAACTTATGCACCAAAGCAAGTGGGAAATATTTATTCATGTACATCAATTGATGTGTTGGGAATTATAAAGCAAACATTATTGCCCCAGTACAGCTGCGAATAGTAGACTTTCTCTTTGGATTTCTTATTCATGTCGACTTTTAATACCTCTACAGATAAATTTGTTTAACCAGACTAAAACATAAATGCATAAATGTCTAGGTTAAATATTTACGCATGTCGACAACACAAATTGGACACATCTACTAGCTCTGAATCATGTTTTTATAGTTTCAAATTGCAGTCTCCTGTCAGTTAACTGCAGATATATTTGTTCACCTACTGCCAATAGCAGGATGGAATATATATGGAATTATTTATTTTTTCCAAATTACTTTACCTCCTAAATTCCATCCCAAGTGACCTCAAGCCATACATCATCTTCTGTTGAGAGGGCAACCAGTTCTCAAACCTTTGATTGTGCATTGAAACAACCAACAATTTTTTAGATAACACTATTTTAGTATAACTCTTATGTACTTTCTTGGGTTTTGACATATTCCATAATGAGGTGAATATTGCAGCATTTCTTCTGCAATTTTTTCAGAAATCCAGAAATTTCCTTGTAGTTTGCCAATTGCAGGATGAATGTGAAATGCAGAATTTTCAGGCGACGATTCATTTTTAGTGGAGCCACTACCTTTATAATCAAGACTGCTAAAACATGTGCTGCTTAAACTACCTCCTGCAGTTGGTCTCGGAAGTGCAGTTTTTGTGTGATTGGTTGTGCGATCATCCTGCTCATTCATCCTGCTCATTGTCATAGCTATGGTGAGTGCAGCATAAACCACATCAATTATTAGGGTCAAGACGGTGCTAACATTTTTCTATCAAAAACAAATGTAATCTTGGTCAGGCCCACTTGAAAAATGTACGTTTTACATTAATGGTTTCACTCCAAGGCACTATTACACTTCAAACCCAAATGCATCATTAAAATATCTTCAAAAAGGCCAGTATGAAATTCAGATCATGTACTTGACATTTCTGTGTGTCTGGTTAGGCTTTGTTTAAATGTAATACAAAATCAGGAATGCAATTATCCTGAATTCCTTAGTGTTATATTGCAAAATCTGGTTAAACCCTTTACCGAGAAGGTATTTTTTCAGAGGACAACCTAGAAAAATCCTCTTGAATACTTTTTGTGGGCATGTCCCCCCAGCCACTATTGTTCTTCTATTGGTTTGAAGTGAAAAACTGGAGGAAGAGAGTAATGCTTATAATAAGCTATAGTGTGTAGGATCACACTACCAAATTAGATTCGAAGAACAATATATGGCTGAAGCAGAAAACTTAGTTCAAAATGAGAATCCTATCCATGAGACAATTTATCATATTTGGCAGAATTAATTCGCTTTTTTATAAATGCATGTCTTGGGTATTTGAGATTTTGTTAGATCTAATTTGTTTTAAGACCCTTTTTCTTCCTGTAGATTATTTGAGGTTGCAGATCATTTACTTCCATTGTAGAGCTTCCTCTAATTTGTTCCATTGAACTATATTAGATCATGTGATCAATACATACTCTTTCGTAATTGGCAATGAAATTCTAGAAGTATATGTAAGTACACAAATGCATCTGTATTGTCCCAACACCTACTATTTCTACAGGATAACAAAGAAGGTCTTGCATCTTATCACATGAAAACATTATACAGTATGTTTCATTGAGTAATTACTGTCATGTGGTCTGGATTCCTTGTGCCCTGGGCCAAGAGCACTTAGTCAAGAACTGGGCTTGTGGTTTGCGACCATGCCTCCCCAACTACATAATACAACTTGTAGGTATTTCTCTTGAGTAAATGGCGACGGGAATAGGCATAGGTGATTGTTGGGAGTCTCCAGTTACGAACCTGCACGCAGGTGATGCGAGCGACTAGTGACTTTGTGCTGGGTATAAAGGCGACAGTGCTATTCGGCATCAGCTCATATGACTGAGGAGTCCTTTTTAGGATCCACTCTGCTCACCTCAAATGGGAAGGGGGCTAGAAAAGGTGTCTAATAATAACTCACCTTGGTCGACCTGACTGGGTAACCGCACCCAGCAAGGTTACCCATACTTGCTGTCACCCATAATACTGTCTAAGACTTCCCCTCCTGTGTTTTTTTAAAAGCTGAGGAACAGTTTATTCTTACTCGATGATTTGGTAGTGGAGTATTGACTGCTTTCTAAGTAGTCTGGTTATTAGAAGTGTTGAGTTTTACAAACAAGAGATGTATTGGAATTGCTTAACAACAACAAGATTACATTTGTATAGTGCCTTTCGTGTCGGGAGGATGTCCCAAGACGTCCCAAGTACAGCATTTCAGACCCGAGCTGGGGTAGGGAGGGGAAGGAGGGTGGCCAATGGCATGGTCGAAGAGGAGCGTCTTAAGGTGGGACTTGAAGGAGGCTAAGGAGGGGGCGAGGCAGAGTGACTGGGGAATGCAGGGAACAGGCAGGTTGGTAGGGGATTAGGAGGTCACAGAGGTAGGGTGGGGCGAGGCCATGGAGGGCTTTGAAGGTGAGGACCAGGATCTTGAACTGGATCCTCTGAAGGATAGGGAGCCGGTGTAGTCGGGCGAGCGTGGAGGAGATGGGATCATGGAGTTTGGTGCGGGAGAGGACACGGGCTGCAGAGTTATGGATTATCTGCAGTATGTGGAGGGAGGAGTTGGGAAGGCTGACAAGCAGGGAGTTTGCATAGTGGAGCCTGGAGGTGATGAAGACATGAACAAGAGTTTCAGTGGCCTGAGAGGTGAGGTAGTGGCGGAGTCGGGCGATGTTACGGAGGTGAGGGAAGGCAGAGCGGGTCATGGTTTGGATGTAGGGGAGAAATGCATTTGTGAGCCAATTTTTGTTGCACGCGTCTATATTGTGTGATTTCTTTTGTAGACATTGTAGAGCAGGAGAATAACTACATAAAAGCTGTCTTGAAAGTAGCGACATTCAGTCAGCACCTTACAAATATGAATACAATGAGATTCACCACGAGTCTAAATCCAACTTTGACACTGTTAGGATATTTTTAAATGAAAGGATTCCCTTCATGGTTGCCAGATAATTGGCAGCCGATTTTACCACAAGATCGGCAAAACGTTCAAAGAATGAAGTCAATTTTTTGAGCTGATAAGTTCGTTGTTAGGTTTAAGATGAAATGGTATCGTTATATTGTCCTATAACTGACTGGAGCTGGTTTCTAGGTTACCTCAACTCTTGAATCATAAACGAGCAAAAGGGTGAGTAGCAGAACATTTTTTTAGCTGAGATCAGATCCAGATACTGCACTAAAGTGATGAATTAGTGGGTCCAGGCTGCTTCACAACTTACCAGCTAGAAGTATTTTTTTTAAAACATGAAGAGCAAGAACATGTATGCATTGGGTGTTCATTTATCTCTTTCTTTATATTTGAACAATTTTTTGTCATCTGGTCCTCAACGTGTTCTAAGTACGCTTAGCTGACCTTGATTTACAGATGTGGATGTTTTTAGAAATTTCAGATAATGCCAAGCTTGAAGGATGGGGAAGAGTCCTGTACAATCGGAACAGGCAGCAATAATCTTAAGAGACATTGACAGCATATGCACCTGGGTTAATGACTAGCAAATGATGTTCGATACAAGGCTTGTAGGAAGTAAAGCCAGATGGCACATATGACATGGGGGTTCATCTCTGCCATTGAGCTTCCTCGTGATTGTGAATTTTTCAAATTATTTGTTTTGATCATCTCACAAAATCACAAAATTTGTTTGGATGAAGAAGGCCTGTTCAGCCTGAATTTGACTTGGGATCCAAACTCAATTGGTGTAGCACTTATAGCCCAACATCCTGATTGTCTTATTTATTGCTGCCTCACACTTTTGACATAGTAAGCGCCAAGTCATCTAATATCTCTAGATCTCTTTCAGCTTCCCCATTGACAAGTTCTGTCCCATTCAGGGATTCACCCACAAAATATACAGTCAATTCACTTTACATTATATTCTGAAGCGCTTCGAGATGTCTCAAAGACGTGATAAGGCACTATGTCAAATGCAAGGATTATTATTGTACATCATTTACTATTCTTGAATCCTATATGTAGCATTTAACATTTTTTATGTATTGCATTTATCGGTATTAAGCCTAATTTGCCAGTTAGGAGCTCACCCCAAATTGGTGTATTGGCAAATCTAACTATCTTACACTGTATCCGTGAATGCAAACACAGGTCATTGAAACTCTTGTTCATGCCTTCATCACCTCCAGGCTCGGCTATGCAAACGCCCTGCTTGTCGGCCTTCCCAACTCCTCCCTCCATAGGCTGCAGATAATCCAGAACTCTGCAGCCCGTGTCCTTTCCTGCACTAAACTCCGTGACCCCATCTCCCCCACTCTCGCCCGACTCCACCGGCTCCCTATCCTTCAGAGGATCCAGGATCCAGATCCTGGTCCTCACCCCAACCTATCTCTGCGAGCTCCGAACCCCCTACCAACTCGCCTGCTTCCTCCTCTCAGCCGGCTCTGGCCTGCTCCACGTCCTCTGACCCACCGGCCCCACCATTGGCGGGAGAGCCTTTAGCCACTCTGCCCCCAACCTCTGGAATTCCATCCCCCAGTCACTCCGCCTCGCCCCCTCCTTAGCCTCCTTCAAATCCCGCCTCAAGACCCTCCTCTTCGACCATGCCATCGGCCACCCCCCTTCCCCTCCCCTCCCTTCTTTCCCCCCCCCGATCCCAGCTGAGGTCTGAAATGCTGTACACTGTCCAGCGCATTGGGACATCCTCCCGACTTGAAAGGTGCTATGCAAATGTAATCTTGTTGGTGTTGATATATACGAGGAACATAAGGGTTCAGTCATCTGAGGCATCTGCTTAATACCTCTCACTATTGTGTCCTATTTATATTTGAAAAATGTACAGTAATTCTGTGCACTAAAGCAAATCTGTTTGCGGTCCAAACTTATCTAGGACCTTAAGACTGATAGGCTGGTCAGTTTTAAAATAACCATTTTCCCAGTTAACTTAACCATTTCTGCCTGTTGTCCACTTTCATGCCAGTGCCTAGTCGAGCAAAAATTTATTTTTGCATATTTACAATTCTTCTTCATATTCTTGACTTAATTTGCTTAATCAATGTTCCTCTATGTTGTAGCTGAAATGCATTGTCTTTGTTATCAGTAACGACTGCTGACTGAAAAAAATTAAACTGTGCTTAGATTGAGGTCATTGCAAGTTAACTAAATATTTTAGGGAAATTTAAATGTTTCAAAGTCTCCATGGCTTTTATTATGGCACTATTGTTACAGACCTAAATTGTGCTAAGTGCATCATTACTGACGTAAAATTGTGATGATTTGGTGGTGATTGCTATAGTGATTTGGCCACGATTCTGTATAAAAGCATGGAAGTGTATGTGAGTTGCATTCGGTGTTTGAATATGGAGACCAAGAACCAGCCTCTGTTTTTTCTTTAAAAGACCAATTCTGATGAAGCTTATTTTTGTGAAATCCAAACCACATTTTGTTTTAACGCTACTCCACTATTGGGCTTCCTTCAGCTCCCTGCCAACACTTGCCTCATCCTACTTACTACTTCTCCTAATATTGTGACACCGAGTATAAATACATGCAGCTTTCTCTGAAACCAGTTATTCATGAACTTGTGTCCAGTAATGTGAATGACATTTTTTGATATTTTAAATTTTATTTATCCTATAAATTTGTTTTGAATGGCAAGTACTTTTAAGAAAATGTGCTGCATGGATAGATTTATCAAGTGGCATCTGTAAATGCCACTTAAACAAAATATTTCAACAATCCATCAATATGTAAACCATTGTAAAAAAAAGAGAGAAATTATAACGGTTTGGAACCAGTATAAACATGAACTTTGCAGAAAGACTTGTATAGTTTCAAAAATGGGAACCATGTTTGATAGTCCTGTACTTTCATACCAGCTTGTGGAAGAGCAGCCTCTCTGCCCCCACCCTTTGGAACTCCAGCCCACAATCCCTTCGGCTTTCTCCCTTGTCTCTTTCAAGACGTGTCTCAAGATCCACCTCTTCGACCATGCCTTCGCTCACCCTCCTACCCCTACCCTCTCTGCCCTTCACCCCACCTGATCCCAACTCCCTGCTCGGGTCCAAATGCCTAACTGTCTAGTGCCTTGGGACATCCTCCCGATGTGTTACGGTGCTTTACAAATGTTGTTGTTGTTAGAAATGGATGGTGAGGATGTTTTGATGGGGTAGTATGTAAATATTGACCAGCAGCAATACAGAGTTGTGAACTGTGCATTCAATTTCCTAATTTTTCTCATCTTAATTACATGTTCACCCAGAGGGAATCTGAACTGTTCTTGTGCTAATGTTGGGAATATCGTCACAAGATGGCATTGGTAGAGACTGTTGGAGGGGAAGAAAATGAGCTAAAGCTTGGGAGTGTGGAGAGAAGAGGGAGAAAGTCTCTGTGATCTGGTCGGAGATGGACTGTATCTGTGTGGGGTGGGAGGAGAGGAGCTGATGTATATAGGGGAACAGAGAGACCGGCTGGTATTGTGGGTGGAGAGAGAAGGAAGGGGTGCTGTGAGGCTAGTGCTCTGGGAGGGGGAGAGAAAGATTGACGCTGATTTACATCTTTATTGCTGGTACTTTTTCAAAATTTGCAGAATGCAACTATTTGTTTTTACAAAATAGGCCTGAGTTGTGGCATTGTCGGAGGTGCCATTCTTTGGGTGAGATGTTAATACTAGGTCTCATCTGCCTCTTTAGGTGGAAGTTAAGATCCCATGGCACTGTTCGAAAAGAGAGGAATTTCTCCCAGTGTCCTGGCCAACAAATCCCCCAAATAATATTGGTCATTCACTCCATGGTTATTTGTGGCACACTGTTGTGCACAAACTGGCTACCGAGTTTTGCCCACAAAGTACACAGTGAATCCACTCTACAGTATATCCTGTGAAACCCTTTGAGACATCTCGATGACGTGATAAGGTGCTATGTCCAATGCAAGAATTATTTTTATTGATGATTTTCAAATGTTACAATTGGTGTCGGGTCAAAAAGGTTTTCTATTTACTTAAATAAATGTAAAAGATTTTTCATAAATTTGAAACTCATTTCTGTTGTCAGGTTTCAAAAGACTTGTGGAGGGAGGAGCAATCCCACCCCTCCAAATAACTCATTTTGTCTTTATCAAATAAGGCTTTTGGCTTTGTCAAAAATACAGGGGAGAACTCATGATGTCAACACACTTCATTTTTTGACCCAATCCCAAAATGGAATTGGTTCTGTATTTGTGTTCTTGTGGAATCCACCAAGTAATGGCATTTGCATTGTGTTAAGGAAATTCAAATTAATTTTATTAGTCTTTTTGTAGAGATTTAATTGTTACAATAACAAGTTTAAATTCTGCTGCAATAATATTGGCATGAGCAAAGCTGAGCTATTTTGAGATGTGGTTTGCATTTTAAAAGCATGAAGACCTGAGAAGACCCTTTAGGATTGAAGGAAATGTGGTGGTGTAATCCTGCATGTTGTTTTACAAAATACATCTTCTGTGGATAATGCAACCTTCTGGAAATGCACTGAATTAGCCAGCAAAAAAAGTCTCAATAATGATCAAGCAGATGCTTTGCTTATATTTGCACCTCCTGATTATAGGGTGCTATTGACACAGTTGTGAAGTTACCAGGAAGCAGATGGAAAGAGGGGATGTACCAATCCAAAGTGGGAGGATGGTTTATAGGAATTCTATGTGGTGTTCAAATAGGAATATTATAAAATAAAGCTCGTATAGCTTTAATCTATGGCACACGCCACAAAAGGGAGTGTAGCACGGCTGATCCATAATTCTGCCAGTGAGGAATAAAATATCTAACATTTGGTGTAATTTTAATATATTTTTGGGAACAAAAATGAAGTCCTTTTGTTACCACTGATACCTCAACCGCAGGCTTTGACTTTTAACTCGGTCTCAAATTCTAGAAATAATCAATTTAATTGGGTAGATACTTACTAATGGTTCAATCAAGGTTTTAAAACATTGCAAATGCAAACAACCTAACATGCTTCCCTTCAATGCCTTCTGTTCTAGGTCATACATAAACATTTTTACTTGAAGAGAGCTGAAGTTATGGCCCAGTGTGAAGAGTGGATTGCAGATATTCAGCAGTACAGCAGTGACAAGCGGGTTGGCAGGACAATGTCTCATCACGCCGCTGCACTGAAGGTAATGCTGGAGGAGAATGGTTACTTGCATGTTGAGTCCAACAAATCTGATTGACCTTTTTTCCTTCTATTTTTGTTCACTGAAAACTAAACTCAGGACTTTTGCAATTCAAAAAATCAGCTATTTTTATTAAAGCACGGCAAAAAAAAACTGGCACCTCCCTATCTCTCCGACCTGCTTACCTCGCAACCCACTGCCTCCGCACAACAGGCTCAACTGAAAACTAAACTCAGGACTTTTGCAATTCAAAAAATCAGCTATTTTTATTAAAGCACAGCAAAAAAAAACATGGCACCTCCCTATCTCTTACCTCACAACCCACTACCCACTGCCTCCGCTCAACAGGCTGTGGCCTCCTGTATGACCCTCATGCCCTCGGTTCCACCATCAGTGGCCGCGCTTTCAGCCATTATGCCCCAAAACTCTGAAACATTCTTCCTCTATCCCTCTGTCTTGCCCCTTCTTTCCCCATCTTTAGTCCATGCCTGAAGACTTTCCTCTTTCACTGTGCCTACAGTTACCTCCACCTCCCCCCGGCTCAGCGTCATGCTCTGCCACTGTCGAGCATTCTGGGACTCTATCCTGCGTGAGGGCTGCTATATAAATGCAAGTTGTTGTTGCAATTTATCAAGCGTTATGGGGAATAAAGCAATCAGTGTGTATTTGACACCTAACTGACTATCTACTATCAGTGCTTTCTAGTAAAGGTGAACAAGTCTACAGAGGAAGCCCAACCTTTCATTTTAGAAGAAAATACTGCAGAACAAAAATCTTTTGTGCCCATTTTAATCATTTTTTATGCTGTAGGCAATCTGATGAAAAATGGAGAATCTGATCTAATGACTGAAATAATATTCAATCATAAAAATAAAACTTTCATAACTGCATGCACCAAATATTCTAACCCAGGAACTGATTTGTAGATGTAATTTTCCAGTTAATGAAGACCCCAAAATACTGCTGCTTCTCTCGCCTGTAGAATGCGAAACTTCAAAAAAAAAATTACAAGGCACTGTACTGTGCTCAGGTTCACTTGATGAAAAATAATTGCTTTTTCATATAAGTTAATGGATAGGCTGGAGTGTGTTATGAATAGGGTAATACATTTAGACTTTGAGAGATTGCTACGAAAGCATTTTTATTAACATCTTAATTATCAGATTCATTATTATGCTGCCTGCTGAGATAGGCCAGACTCGGGTAGTGGTTACAATATGGGTAAATGTTAAGGATTTGTTGGAAGCTTCAAAAACTGAAATGATGCTGGGAATGCTCAGATTTGAAACCAATTATAATAATAATCCTTGCATTTGATATAGCGTTTTATCGCATCTCCAAGATGTCTCAATATACAGAATATATTGTAAAATGAATTAACTGTATATTTTGTGGGTGAAACGAGGTAGGCAATTACGCACAGCAGTGTCCCACAAACAGTCGTGGATTGAGTGACCAAATTATTATTATTTTTATTTGTTTTATTATGATTGGTTCCTCTGTATGTACCACAAGATTTGACCAGCTGCAATTCTGGGGATTTATTTTACTGTTGCATGAAGGAAATGAGAGCCAGTATCTGAATCTTTTGAGGTGTTTAAAATTCTTGGCTACGATCATTCAGATCACCTGCTCTCTCCTCCCAAAAAGACATTTTGACACAATGCAGTGTCAGTGAAGGAGAATACCTCTTTCTGTCAGAGCATCAGCCTCTGTTCTGGCAAGTAATTTAATTTAACAAATTTAAGTGAAGCATATTAAAACCTACAGAGCTTCCTCAACTGAATTAATCTGTGCAGAAGCACATCAGTAGTATAAAATTAAACTCTGTCTCATGACCGTCTAAACTCAACTCGTGTTATTCACGAGCAGTGGATGAACTGTTCGATGCTTTGTGAGCTCTGCTTCACCATGGCGGGAAAAAGGCTGACATCAACGACAACAAAATTACATTTATATAGTGTCTTTCACATCGGGAGGATGTCCCAAGGCACTGGACAGACAGAGTTTCGGACCCGAGCTGGGGGTTGGGATGGGGGAGGGCATGGGGGGAAGCAGGGAGATCGAAAGCACAGTCGAAGAGGTGGGTCTTGAAGGTGACAAGGTTGCTATTAAAGTTGCCTACCACAAGCTAGTTATCCCTGTGTTATCTTTTCTGATTTAATTCCTACTTAAAATCCAAAAAAACAGAAGCTGCTAAATATACAACCAACCTACGTTGTAAAATAATGGAATTGAAATAGGTGCAAGATCCTCTTCCCAAATATTTTGTTTCTTGTTGAACCACAAACTGAAATTTGTAGTGTTTTGCTGGAATAAAACTCTAGAGATTTGTGAGAGCCAAAGCTCCTTTATACTACGTTATTAACTAATTTGGTCTTGTATTGTGCTTCTAAACTTTAATGATCAATAAAATGGATAATTGATCTATCAATTTAGTTGCTGTATTGCTTATAGAAGATTCACTCAAATTATATTGAAAGCCTCTGTATATTCAGACAGTCAAAAGCGATTGTGGAGAACCAAATTTAAATCATTATGATGAAGCTGCTCTAAAGCAGTCTGCAGTATTTGCTAGAATCTTTATATTTACAATACATATTGAAATTAACTTTCAGTTACCCAGGTCCTACTAATGAGCTAAAGCACATTTTTGTGCATTTAACTAGTGGATGCCCCGGGATTTGAGAGTTTTCATAAGATGGACTTGCTCACAGTTATTTGGTGCCCTTCAGTAACAGTCAAGACAACTGAGATGAGAACTACCTTAAAAATGTATGCATTCACTGAATCAAAGGAAATCTAAACCAAGAAGTTTGAGGTAAAGATTTAAATATGTCTTTGCAAATTGGCTGCTGTTTTGCCCACAAAATAGTTTCACAACTTTACAATATACTCTATAAATTGCTTTGAGAAATGTCAACAGTGTGATGGGACACTATATCAAATCCAATAATAATAATAATCCTTGCATTTGATATAGCGCTTTTCACGGTCGGGAGGACGTCCCAAAGCGCTTCACAGAACACACTGTAAAGTGAATTGACTGTATATTTGTGGGCAAACGCGGCAGCCAATTGCGCACAGCAATGTCCCACAAACAGTCGTAGATTGAAAATGACCAATTTAGTATTGTTTTGTTTTGGAAGGATTATTATTAAGGATGATGATGATTATTTTAGGTGGTAAGCCGGAAGCCATTTTCAAAATCGTAACTTGTAATAAAGCTAAGTAGAAGTCTTGTCAGCTGTAAGACGTTTTATACAACACTGAAATAATAGATGCAGTGAAATTCTCATTGGGTCAATGGTCCTATACATCACCAATTCGAAAAATGAAGTACCAGATAAACCAGGGCACAGCTATCTATACTTAGATTATTAATGAAATACCCTGTTGCTGTCGAGCAAAACTTTTCAGAAGTTGCATGAAAGTCATTTGATCCATTTTGGGTGCTACAAGTCCATTTCTCTCTATTTGAGAAGAATTCGAGTATTATTGTACAGTATTGCTTTTTGAATAATTTATAAATGAAGTACTGAGCATTCAGCACGTCCTTCCTTTGATATTACTCTGTTTCATGTCATCTGATTGACTTGCAGCGTCATACTGCCCAGCTACGTGAAGAGCTGCTCAAGCTTCCTTGCCCTGAGGGTCTAGAACCAGAGTATGATGACACAGTGGAGAAGAGTGAAGAGACGGCAGCTGGTGAAACTGAGCTTGTGTCACAGGGCGAGGACAAGGCCGGCAGCAGCGGCAGCAGCAGAGACCACTCCCCCAGCGACAAACTATGATCTGCATTGTGCGGACTTGAAAGACTCAAAAGGCTTTGAAGCACAAGCCAAATTTTGTCAATATTTGTATGTAAGAAGCTAATTATGTAATAGGTAATAAAATTGAACTATGCTATGCCCTACAACCCCCTGTTTAAATCAATATGATCTTTTATTTACCTGTAAAAGAGTGTAAACTTTTTTGTGCTTTTATTTTTTTTGAATTGTGACATAACCACTACATGGTATGTTTGAAAAAATTGTTCATGTATACACTGATGACAAACTGATAAATCACTGATATAAGGGAAATACATTAGAATGTTTACTGAATGTTAATTTTTCAGTTTTGGCCATTAGAGGGCAGTTGTAACCAGGAATATATTGTCATTCTTATAGATATTTCACTTATTTAAAACTACAGATCTTCAGTTTGATAGCCCCCTCCTTCTCTTTGCCCTCCTACCCTCTCCCCCCCACCCCAAAAAAAATTGTTTGGCCATATTCATTGCTCATATTCAATTTCTACAGACTCCTGTAACTTCAATAAAAGATGAATGGACATTCTATACAGCTATGGTTGATTACTGGTACGTTAACAGTACTGTTAATTGCTGAGTTCCTAAATGTTTTTATGCTAAGTCTTAAATACAATTTTAATAAATATAACTTGCTTTGGTTCACATGGATGCATATTGGACTGGAGTCATGGAGCAGTGCATGGAACAAACTATCATTTCAGAAATTACTGTACACAACAAATTGAATTTATATAGTGCCTTTCATGTCGGGAGAACCTCCGACGCCGGAGAACCAGGTTATACGTGATCGATATTACATTCACATTACATTCACGTCAGGAGAACTTCCCAAAGCTCAAAACTATTTTGAACAAGAGTTTTGAATAAATGCTTGAGATGACGTGTTTTAGGTGGTTAATGTAACACACACACAAGTGGTTGATGTAGGTTTGGCAGCAAGTGGATCATCATGGAAAGTTCCCAATCTAAACAATGCAATCGGAGATCGACTCTTTGTTGAGTTGACTCTTCCTCACAGGTAAGCAGAAAAATCTACTGGTCTTCAAACTCTGTACCTCAAAACCTCCTTTAAAAAGCTATAATTCAATTGTTTTAATAATGATGTATATCAAATACAAGGATTATTATTTAAGAACTAAGTGGATACTGTTTGATGTGCTTTCCTTAAGTCATGCAAAAAGGTTTCACGGCATTGCTATACAGTTTATTGAGAAACTATTATAGTTAAGGTTTCTAGTGTAAGATAACTTGAGGCCATAACCACACGAGTAATGGTTTCAATCAAATTGTTTATTGAGAATAAATGCAATCAAACATACACAATAAAATCTGAATTAAAGTATAGTCAAGCATGGCAATGACAATTCTATAATATACTAACTCAGATTGTGAAAGTGATCAGTTACCTTTCCCCTGGGAGAGCTCAGGCGGTCTTTTGCTTCTCAATTTATTTCTCAGGCAACTTCCTTGAATCTAACTAAACTTCTCTTTATCCCCACTCACACCATTCCATCAGCCGTTCTTATCGGAGACTAAAAAAACATTTCTGTGCAGCCAGACTGGCCCCAAAGCTGTTCTGGGTGACCAGATGTCTTTTCAAGGTTGGGGAGTGAAACAATAGATTGCTGGTCTCTGAGCTCTCCTTGGAAGCCGGTTTTCTCATACACAACTTTTTCAGTTTAACTCTTTCCTTACACTCGTCTAGTGTCAAAGTGGCCATTGTAACAAGAGAAGTGTTGCTTTTACCTTTGCGTTCTTCTGTACCCTTGCCTCATTTATCTTTTCTTCATGCTCTTGTACCTGCCTCGTATCTTAAGCTATCTTCAGACAATGCTGAGTAATGTATGTTTTAAGGTGTCCAATTGGTCCTGCCATTGCTTTCCCTGAGAAATTTACTGATCACGTTTCTAAAATGCTTCTTAAACATACTGATATTACTGAACTAGTCTATTCACTATAATCCATTAGGCAGTAAGCATTCTATATTTGTTGTCTCCAGTTTGTTAAACCTCTGGGGTATTATCATGCATTGAGCTGAGTAACATCATTCGTTTCTACTATACATACTACAAAAGCTGAAAATTACTTGTACTATAAATTCAATTCAAACTAACATTATGACTGTTTCATCTACATGAATCAATTTGTCCATGACTTTGTACTCTCTGTGAGTGGTTAACTCTGTAACCATCACTTGAGTTAACAGCTTAGATATTTCCCTGTTAACGCTACACAAGAAGCAAATCAATAGTACCAAACTAATGGTCAATACAAACTAAGATAACAACAAAAACTTAAATTCCAAAGGAGTGCCTTCTATAAATAACTAATAATCTTCCTCTGTGAGTAATTCATTCAGTTTCCTTTTCACTTTATCCATGGCATTGCTAATGCTAACAATGTATGTGTCTTTACGCTTCATTAAGTTCTTGAATTTTAGTGCTAAAGGCTCAATTGGGATGGTAAAATCTGCAATGTCTAATGAATCCTGGGCCTGAATTATTTCCTGCTAGTTTAGTTTTGTGGCGCTTCCCGGGACGGTCTGGCTCATCACCTCCCTCTTGAGAAGCTGGAGTTGACATTTGTCTGCTCCCACTCTCTTCCTGGGTTAGTATTATCAGGAGGGTCACCAGTCTCGCTGACCATTGAAGTCTCGTTCCCTTCACCATCTCCATGCTCAGGGTTAGCTGTGGAGATTAAGAAAACGTCATCTCCTTTAAAACATTTCTGGCTGATTAATGTGATACCTACCTTCTATCCTTTTACCCTTGCCATATTCTGAGTTTTTACACAGCGGAACTCCGTTTATTTATGATCTGATGAGGTCCTGTGTATTTTGGACCAAAAAGATCCAGGTTATTGCAGATCTTTAACATAAGGACACAAAAAAAGACCAAGGTCCATTTACATTCCTGGTGGTCGCATGCACATATGTCCTGAACTACCTGTGTATCTTTCTGGGGGTAATGATCCCTAAAAAAAAACAATAATTTGTTGCACAAGTCATTTCCATATGATACTGAAGAGAGACTTCCAAACATGTACCCTTGGTTCTCGAGCTGCTCCAAATGCGTGTGAGCTCTTACTATTTAATTCCTGTACCAATTCCTCCTTTTTGTCCTTCAACTGTGCAGCGCGCCAGGGCATTTTTTGGTTTAACATATAAAGTGCTGGGGGTAATCCCCACCAGCGCCTAAGAGTTCCCCACCAGTAAATTGCCTTCCATAATAATAAAGGTGATTTTGTCGGCAATCACCAAGCGGTCACAGTTTAGGCAGATTTTACAGAATTTCAGGAAAATTTTACAGAATATTATTTGACAATTAAAGCCATTGTTTCATTTTTAGTTATTGGATTCCTGCTTTCAAATTACTTCAATCACCCTAAGGTTTGAAATAAATGCATGAAGCATTGTAGAAACAAAATACAAATTACTGCAGTTGCTGAAAATCTGAAAACAAAAACAGAAGTGGCAAAGGGTCGTGGACCCGAAATGTTGACACACTTTTCTTTCTCCATAGATGCTGCCTGGCTTGCTAAGCTTTGTAAAAATTTGTTTTTAATGCAACTGGATGTGGGATCAAAGTACCCCCTTTGAGTTCAGTCCTCAACAGTGATAATTTCTTTAAAAAAATGCCCTGGTGCTCACAGCTATCAGAGCAGGCTCATCTTTAAGCCTGTTTTGAAACCCACAATGCCTTTATTACAGTGGCTTTCTGTCTCTGGTTTTGATTTCCGTTTTTCAACTAACTATGTCTCATCACAATATTTCCATGGAGTTAAACTAGTTAATGCAATTATAAATAATCCTGTCACCTTAGGTTCAGTAGTAACTTTCCCCACTAGTTTCTCCATTGTGGAGTCCTGTAGCTCAGTGGTTAGAGCACTTGCCTGGCAAGCGAGAGACCTGGGTTTAATTCCAGGCAGGTCAGGGCGAAACCTTAGACAAGTTTCCTTACTCTACACACCTAATAATAATCCCTCCAAAACAATAATAAATTGGTAATTTTCAATCCACGACTGTTTGTGGGACACTGCTGTGTGCAATTGGCTGCCGCATTTCGCCCACAAGTATACAGTCAATTCACTTTACAGCATATTCTGTGAAGCGCTTTGAGACATCCAGAAAACGTGAAATGCGCTATATCAAATGCAAGGATTATTATTATTATTGTAGGGTTAATCCGGCCTCGTATTTAGTACCTCGCCTTATCACGACTTGGGTTGGGTCTCTCTTGTCCCTGATTTACTAAAGTTGCTGGAATTTATGTAAACTGAGAATAATTCAGTTTTCAAAAGCTTATTATCTTGCAAGTTCGACCTCTTTCAAATGAAAGGACCCATCTGGTGTGCCAATTTGTAGGATCACTTGCGAGACAATAACCACGCCAGCGATAGTTTCAATCAAATTGTTGCTTTACTGAATGCAATAAATGCAATATTTTAATACAACATGCATAGTAAAATCTCAATTAAAGTACAGCCAAGTAACAACAATTATGTATTAAAATAGTATAACATACTTAAGGATTGTGATAGTGATCTTTTTCTGCTGGGAGAGCTCAGTTCCCTTGCTTCTCAGTTTCTTTTTCTTGAAATACCTTTCTGAACCTACCTAACTAAACTGCTCTTTATCCTCAAAGGTCTGTACGCTTAAGGACTGTGTCTTGGTATCAGCCACAGCATTCCATCAGCCGCTCTTATCAGAGATCCAACAAACATTTCTGTGCAGACAGCCAGGCCCCAAAGCCATCCTCTATCACCAGATGTCTTTTCAAGGTTGGGAAGCGAAATAGTAGATTGCTGGTCTCTGAGATTTCCTGGAAGCCGGTTTTCTCATACACAACTTTTTCAGTTTAACTCTTTCCTTACAATGGTCTTTTCCACATGTTGTAAGGAAAGAGTTATAGGGAAGCTGGCTTCCCTATAACAACAACAAAATTATATTTGTATAGTGCCTTTCACATTGGGAGGACGTCCTCAGGCACTGGACAGTCAATGTTTCGGACCCGAGCGGGGGGTCAGGATTGGGGAGGGTGGAGGGCAGGGGGCGAAGCAGGGTGATCGAAAGCACGATTGAAGAGGAGAATCTTGAGATGGGTCTTAAGAGAGGGCGTGAGGCAGAGGGACTGTGGGATGGAGTTCCAGAGGGTAGGGGCGGAGTGGCAGAAGGCCTGCCCCCCAATGATGGGGCAGGGTTGGTGGGGGACGTGAAGCAGGCCGGATCCCTCTGAGCAGAGCGAGTGGGCAGGATAGTAGGGGGCGGGGGTTAGGACGTCGCAGAAGTAGTGGGGGAGCAAGGCCATGGAGGGCATTGAAGGTGAGGACCAGGATCTTGAACTGTATCCTCTGTGTGATGGGAAGCCAGTGGAGTTGGGCGAGGATAATAATATAATAATCCTTGCATTTGATATAGCACTTTTCATGTCTTCTAGACGTCTCAAAGCGCTTCAGAGTATACTGTAAAGTGAATTGACTGTATATTTGTGGACGAAGTGCTCACAGCCGTGTCCCACAAACAGTCGTGGATTGAAATTACCAATTTATTATTGTTTTTTTTCTTGAGGGATTATTATCAGGTGTGTGGAGTAAGGAAATTTGCCCAAGGTTTCACCCTGACCTGCCGAGAATTGAACCCAGGGCTCTCACTTGCAAAGCGAGTGCTCTAACCACTGAGCTACAGGAAGGAGGTGATAGGGTCACGGAGCCTGGTGCGGGAGAGGACATGCAGAGTTATGGATAATCTGAAGTAGGCCAACAAGCAAGGAGTTTGCATAGTCAAGCCTCAAAGTTATAACTTACTATTTCTCATGCATGGCAAAGTATCCAGTGTTGCTGATACCGTATATTGATTGTCAAGGTTTATGAGCAGCAGATTTATGCTGGGTTCTACAAATTGGACTGGGTATCAGCAACTTTTTGAAGGAGCAAATGTATTTCTTTCAAAGTCATGTTTTAAAAAAAGACATTGCCTTCTCTTTGATCAGTTTTTTCTTATTTCTCCCCCCCAACCCCATCTCCCACTCTGTTCAGGCTTCCACTCTGTCTCATGTGAATTATAAACCCCGGCATGGACTGGTTGCACTGAGTGGCCTGTTTCCGTGCTGTATATTCTTTGTAAATCCCTTTCTCTATGAAATGCTTTGAGATATATCTGAAAGCCCAACACAAGTACAGAATTGTTTGATTAAAATCTATATTATTTTTTTCAGGGACAAAGGGGAAAGAAGGAACGAAGAGGCAAGTTTCATATAGAGTGTACCCACCTATTCCAGTAGATTTTAGATAGTAAGTGTCTAATTATGCCCCATTTCACCGCTTAGCTTCCAGGAGGAAGCTGGTTGGATTGCTCTCCATTATGAGAAGACACTACAGTATTTGTTGAAATAATTTAAGGGCACTGAATATTGTAGGACAATTCAAGTGGTTTAGTATTCATAAACTCCACCTTCAATAGTTTTTGAATACCAATAGGGATTAGACAGATGGACACTTCCGCATTGTTCATGTTCTGCTTGTACGAGATTGGCAAGGGTGTTACCAGGGATGGGTGGATACATCTATCAGAAAACTTTGAACAGGTTGGAGCTTTTCTCTGGATTTGAGACAATCAAGACTGGACCTCATGGTGATTTTTAAGATTATGAAAGGATTTGATAAAGTGGATACTGAAAGATTGTTTCCACTTGTTGGTGAATCTGAAATGAGAGGGCACTAATATACAATAACTGGCGGTATATCTAATAGGGAATTTAGAAAGAACTTCTTTACCCAGAGGGTGGTGAGAAAGTGCAACTTGCTGCTAGAGGTTATAGTTGAAGCAGAAAGAATCCCTTCAAAAGGTCTCCTGCCATTCTGTACTTGCACTGCATTACGATTGTTATCGTTATTGCTACATTGACATAAAACTGGTCATAGGTAAGCGTTTGTGTTCTGTGAATACATAATATGAATATAAGGAGTTTGAATCCACAATTTATTCATTGGAACTGAACAAATTGAAAACTGGGCCATACCTACAAAGAAATGGGAAATAATGGAATTGGAATTTGATGGCTCCAATATTGCCTCCAATATTCAGAATTTGGTTTGTATTTGAATGTCAGGAAACAGATATTTTATGTCTGACTATATCTGTGGTTAACTTCTCCAAACTGCATTTTTGTACATGATGTTGATTATCAAATGCCATATTTTTGCTGTTATATTGGAATATTATGACAGTGTGTTTACAAATAACTTGGTGGTACTGAATTGACAGATCAGTTTACAGTACTATCTCTACTTTCTTCAAAATCTGGATGGACCTGGGCTGTCGATTTCTGTGTTTTGGTTCTTATAAGGCTATAACAATAATAACTTGTGTTTATATAGTATCTTTCAAATAAAAAGTCTGGAAGGTGTTTACAAATTATACATTAATTGTACCTGAAGTGTATGTTTTATTTGTAAACAGGCAATGATCTGCACCGATAATAACTCTTAGCTTTGGCACTTGATATAGTGCCTTTCACCTTTGGCGGATCTATGAAAGTTTTTCACAGGATATACTGTGAAGTGTCGTGACTCTAATTTAGTCACTCACTCCACGACTGTCTGTGGGACATTGCTGTGTGCAATTGGCTGCCGCGGTTCACCCACAAAATATAGTCAATTCACTTCAGAGTGTATTCTGCGAAGCGCCTTGAGACGTCTCGAAGACATGAAAAGTGCTATATCAAATGCAAGGATTAGTATTATTATTGTATCAAATGCAAGAATTATTATTATTATTGTATCAAATGCCAAGGATTATTATGATCGAAGCTGAGTTCTCGCCACAGGGAAGTGGCTTCACTGGTACAACAAAACCACAAGGCTATATATGTACATATATATCAAACAAGTTTCCTTACTCCACACAGAGCCTAATAATAATCCCTCCAAAACCAAAAACAATAATATAAATTGGTCATTTTCAATCTACGACTGTTTGTGGGACATTGCTGTGTGCAATTGGCTGCCGCGTTCGCCCACAAATATACAGTCAATTCACTTTACAGTGTGTTCTGTGAAGCGCTTTGGGACGTCCTCCCGACGTGAAAAGCGCTATATCAAATGCAAGGATTATTATTATTATTATTATTATTAAACAGAAGTGTTTGCAGGTTTCAGTGGTGTTTGTGCCCCAGTGATCACCAGCCCCTCCCCTCCCCCTCCCCCCGGGGGGGCTGTACCCGGCATGCCCTGCGCGGAGGGCCTGTCATGGCTGCGCGGTGCTGGTGCTGGTGATGGTGAAGCTCGTGGCCGCCGCCGGTGGTGTGTGACTGACACTGTGACACTCGGACTCGGGGACGAGCGTCGGTGGAACACTCGCGCACTATGGATTCCCGACTGGAACGCTGTGTGGTCCGCGGAGCTCTGAATGGCGCAGAGAGACAGACACACGTGACAGCAGCAGCAGCAGCAGCAGGTACCCCCCCTCAACATACACCCCCCACACCCCCCCCTCATACACCCCCACACCCCCCCCTCATACACCCCCCCTCATACACCCCCCTCATACACCCCCCCACACCCCCCTCATACACCCCCCCACACCCCCCCACTACATACACCCCCCACTACATACACACCCCCCCCCCACTACATACACACAGGTACGCCCCCCCACTACATACACACAGGTACCCCCCCCTCATACACGCATACAGGTACCCCTCCCCCCCATACATCCCCCCACACATACACACAGGTACCGCCCCCCCACATACACACACACCGTACCCCCCCCCTCATACACCCCCCACACATACACACAGGTACCCCCTCATACACACACAGGTACCCCCCTCATACACCCCCCCCCCACTACATACACACAGGTACCCCCCACATACACCCCCCCCCCCCCCACTACATACACACACACACACACCCCACTACATACACACAGGTACCCCCCCCACATTCACACAGGTACCCCCCCCACATACACACACACACACCCCACTACATACACACACACACACACACAGGTACCCCCCCCCTCATACACACACACACCCCACTACATACACACACACACAGGTACCCCCCCCTCATACACACACACACAGGTACCACCACCCCCCCCCCCCCCACACTACACACACCACACACACACAGGTACACCCCGCTCACTCACACACCACACTACACACACCACACTACATACACACACACACAGGTACCCCCCCCCTCATACACACACACACACACACACACACACCACTACATACACACAGGTACCCCCCCCCCACATACACACAACAACAACAACAACAACAAGATTCCATTTATAGAGCGCCTTTCACGTCAGGAGGACGTCCCAAGGCGCTGCACAGTTGGGTCATGACCCGAGCAGGGGGGAAATGGTCAGGGTGAGGGGAGGGAAGGGAGGGAGCGAGGAGGGGGAAGAGAGTCGAGAGGGGAGCTGAAGGCACGGTCAAAGAGAAAGGTTTTGAGACCGGCCTTGAAGGAGGAAAGGGAGGAAGCGGCGAAGGCACTGGGGGATGGAGTTCCAGAGCCTCGGGGCTGAGAGGCTGAAGGCCCGACCACCGATGGTAGGGCGGTTGGGGCGGGGGATGTGGAGCAGACCGGAGCCAGAGGAACGGAGGGTACGGGCAGGTAGGTAGGGGGATAGTAGGTTGGAGAGGTAGGAGGGAGCAAGGCCGTGAATGGCCTTGTAGGTGAGGATGAGGATCTTGAAATCAATCCTCTGGGGGATGGGGAGCCAGTGGAGGCGAGCGAGGGTGGGAGTGATGTGGTCCCGAAGCCTGGTGCGGGACAGTACACGAGCTGCAGAGTTCTGAATGACCTGCAGCTTGTGGAGGGAGGTGGCGGGAAGGCCGGCGAGGAGAGAGTTCCCATAGTCCAGCCTTGAGGTGACAAAGGCGTGAACCAGGGTTTCAGCAGCGTGAGGGGTGAGGTAGTGCCGTAGTCTGGCGATATTCCGGAGGTGATGGAAGGCGGTGCCAGTTGTGGTGCGGATGTGAGGGAGAAAGGACAGCTCAGGGTCGAACAAAACGCCGAGGTTCCTGACTGGCTTTGAGAGGTGGAGAGTGCAGCCTTGGATGCTGATGGTGTCAGCGCCTGAGGTGCGGAGGCGCTGACGTGAGCCAATCAGGAGGGCCTCGGTTTTTCGCACGTTGAGCTGAAGAAAGTTGTCTCTCGTCCAGGACTCGATGTCGGACAGGCAGCTGTCAGGACATCGGTGGTCGTGGAGTTGAGAGTAGAGGAGGAAAGGTAGAGTTGGGTGTCATCCGCATACATGTGGAAGTTAACCCCATGTTTGCGGATGATGTCACCGAGGGGGAGCATATAGAGGGTGAAGAGGAGGGGACCGAGGACAGAGCCCTGAGGGACACCACATGAGACAGTACGGGGGTTGGAGGAGAAGCCATTCGTTGAGACGAAGTGAAGACGGTGGGAAAGGTAAGAGCTAAACCATTCAAGGACAGTGCCTTGAAGGTTGAGGTGGGAGGACAAGCGGTGGAGTAGGATAGCGTGGTCGACCGTATCGAATGCTGCCGATAGGA